GCCGCCGCAGCTGGCTCCGCGATACCGCTGCAAGCGCAGGGCTGCAAGTGCTGGCGCTGGCGCCTTGCGTCCATGCTGCTGCTGCTGCTGCTGCTGCTGCTGCTGCTGCCGTGCCCATAGTACGCAGCGCTGCACTGCTGGCGCAGCTAGTCCAGAGAAACCTTGGCGCCGGCTGCAGCAAGGGATGCAGAGGCAGGCAGGGTCAGCAAGCGCACATGGTCGAGCGCAACGGAGGCGGCGGCCCGCTGCTGCCGCCAGCTACCCGCCAAGAGCGCGCCTGCTAGTCGGCCAAGCAGGCACCAGCGGCGGATCGGCTGTAGCATTGGCGGCAAAACTCCCTCGCCGCGCCAGCCTGCCATAGCAGCGGCAGGAGCAGCAGCAGCCTGGCAGCGGCAGCAGCGACAGCCCATGCTCACCATCCAGCAGCGTCTTCTGCAGCGCCTCGGCCTCCTCCTTCTTCAGGCCCTCCTTCACTACCTTGGGCGCAGCCTCCACCTGCGGGCCGCGGGAGATGACATGGCACGCGGCGCGGCAGGGGTGCGTCAAGACGCGAGCTGGCCTGCGTGCTGGAGTGACGGGCAGAGGAGCGAGGAAGACGGCAAAAGGCCTGGCAGCAGGCCGACAGGACAGGCGGCGCTGCCACGGCTGGCTTCAGTCAAACCAGCCGTTCCGCCCATGGCTCCGCGACCGCAGCATGCACAAGCAAGCATTCAGGATGAGCATGCATGCACCCACTGCCTCGCTCCACACGGGCAACATGCAGGCAGGCGGGGTCGGACACAGGGCCCGCTGCAGCGCCGCCTGCACTCACCAGCTCTTTCGCCTCCTTGAGCCCCAGCCCCGTAATGGCTCGGACCTCCTTGATGACCTTGATCTTGGCGGCTGCATCGTAGCCCTCCAGCTTCAGCGTGAACTCGGTTTTCTCCTCCACTGGAGCTGCTGGCGCGGCGGCCTCAGCCGGGGGAGCGGCGGCAGCGGCGCCGCCCATGGGCATCCCCATCGGCATGCCCATCATCGGCGGCGCCTCGATGCCCAGCTTCTTCTTCAAGATCTCTGTGAGGTCCGCCACTTGCAGCAGGTTGAGCTGCAATATCTGCTCGGACAGGGCCAGCACCGTGGGGTCGGTGATCTCCCGCTGCTCATCGCCGCTGCTGCTGCTGTAGTGCCGCAGCCAGGGGGCTGCACGGGCCGCTGGCAGCAGCTGGCGCGCCGCCGCCTCCAGGCTGCTGCCGGCTGGGGCCAGGCCCCCGCCGGCGGTGCATGCTGCGCTGCTAGCGGCCCAAGCCGCGCTGCAGACTCGTTGCAGGCTAGTCCGCAGCATCCCTGGTGCGCCCAGCTTTAGGTTTGGAGGGGGTGGCCAATGCAGGCACGATGCTGGTGAAGCGCTGCTAGGGCGGGGGGCTGGTTTAGAAGGAGCTGGGACTGATGGATGTGGCTGAGCAACAGTGCTGGCGATGGACGGGGCCAGGGTTGGACAAAATTGTGATGCTGCACTGCCTGCTGGGGGCCTCTCTGTGTCTCTGCCTCTCGGCGGCCAATGCAGCTCCCTGGCAATAACCAAGGCTGCCCCACGATTGGCAGAGGCCGCTGGGCGGCGCGGGAGCGAGGGAGCCCAGTGGGGAGAGAGCGGCCCCACCGCCTTGCACGTCCCGTCCCCGCAGGTCGCTCCCTGCCTTCACTGGGCCAGCCATTCATCTTGATGGCGCAGCCAACGAAAACTTTACAGGGACGCAGAGAGATCCGGGCCCATTTCATACGTCAAAGTCAACAAACAGGTCGTCGTCCGCCTGCTGGTAGGCCACCTGCATGGGCTGCTGCTGCTGCTGCGCCGGTGGCGGCACCTCTGCCGGCCCCGACAGGCTCACCGTGATGCCGCCCTTGGGTTGCTGCTGCGCCACGGCCGCCGCAGCAGCAGCCTGCTGCCCAAACTGCACCATCTGCTGCTGCTGCTGCTGCTGCTGCTGCTGCGCGGCGGCGGCTGCTGCTTGCACCGCCGCGGCGGCTGCCACGGCAGGGGAGGGCGCCACGTGGCCGGCCAGGGCCAGGCTGAAGCGGGAAAGCAGGGCGGGGATGGATGAGATGACGGGGCCGTAGCGGGAGATGTTGTCGTACAGCTCAAACAGCGGCACAGCCACCAGGCGCATGTTCTTGGGCACCTGGGGGGGCGGCACAGATGCAAGTGCAGGCAGTGAGGCAGGCATTCGGGGCGACGGTGTTGCAGGATGACACAATGGGGAAGGTGGACAGCGACAGGAGACGGAGAGCAGGCGGCCGGCAGCAGCAGACGCATGCCGCAGACGGGGCTGCCTGCGCACGGCACAGCCAGCGGCAGCCCGCCGGGGAGGCTGACGCTGAGGCACGCACAACACACGCTGCCGCCTCACCGACAGGTAGCAGCGCTCTGGCAGGGCGATGAGGAAGAGGCGCTTGACCTCCTTGGGGCGGGCCACGTGGGCTGGACAGTACGGGTACATCATGTTTTCAAAGTTGGGCCTGCGGAAAGGGCTCAACACGCAACACGCACCAACTCGGCAGCGGGCTGGGCTGGGCTGCGTGGCTCCCTTAGCTCAGGCAGGCAGGTGCTGCATGCGCCATCTGCCGCAGCCCAGAGGGACCACGATGGACAGCAGGCGCAGTCACCCCGCCAGAAGGAACACGGCACATTCTGCGTGCGCAGCAGCAGCAGGCGCACCTCCACCACGTGCCCAGCAGGTCGGACACCCGCCAGTCGGGCCGCATATTTTCAGCCGGCGGCGCCAGCAGGCTGTGCAGCTTGCGCAGCATGCCCTCAGCTTCTACACCAGGCAGGCGGGCGCAAGCAGGCAGGCTGGTGGTGGGGTGCGCAGGCACGAGGAAGGCTGGGCGGCAGGACAAGACACGCCGGCGGCACAGCGGGGCCCTTGGCAGTGGCTGGGATGCAGCAGCCTGGGGGAGGCTGTGCCGAGGCCGCAAGCAGCCTGGCAGCGCCCAGCGGGCCACACGCACCGTCCTCCCCAGGCCGCAGCCGCCCGCCGGGCAGCTTGAAGAAGGAGGCCCCCATCTGCAGCACCAGCACGTGCGGATGGCCGTGCTCGTGCACCACCAGCACTGCCTCCACGGATCGCCGCAGGCCCTCGCGTGCATACCTGCAAGGCAGGAGCATGGGAGGGAGGTAAGCTGCTGATTGCGGGCGACACAAGGCGCAGGCGGCGGCGGCACCACCGCGGCTGCCCAGCGCCCATCGCGAAGGCCCTGCGCGGCGTCCCTCCTTCTCCCTATGCTGCGGGCAGCTCCTCACTTCTCCTTGAGGCGCTCCAAGCGCTGCGTCACGGACGAGTCCTTCTCAAACTTGGGCGGCTTGGACCCAAAGGTGTAGTTACCTACCGGGTACACCGCCAGCTGGGCCATAGCGGCTGGTGCACGCAGGTGGTGATCGGGATGGGGGATGGGAGTGGGTGCTGCTGGAGGGATGCCGGTGGGCCCTTTGCAACGTATGTTTGGCCGTCTTCGAGGTGCGATTCGACGCAAAAGTATGACTGCCAACCCATGCTGCCCCATGCTACGCTCCTTGCCTCAAATGAAGCGCGTTTGACCTCATCTCCAGGAGCAGCCCCCCGTCTTCTGCACCGCCAGGGACGTCGTGCATCCAACAAACTCTTCTCTAAGGTCTCGACGTGTCCAGCAAGTCCCGAGACGGCCTCCGCCATCATGCGCAGTCACGCAGAGGAGCCGGTGAGCAGGCTGGCAGCCCCCGGCCCGCTGCACGGCCGCCTCACACATCGCGTCCGGCGCACAATCTGACGCAGCGTCCCCGGCTGCGCCCCCGCCAGCAACCGCCGGCGCCCCCGCCAGCCATTGCCGCCTCCTCACCCCAAGTCCCGGTGCTAAGCCCCCGCGTTGCAGGCCGCGCCACCGATGCCGACCACCGCGCATCACGGCAAGAAGGCTAGCGTGGAGGAGGTGTTTGAGCACCGGTGGCGCAAGGCGTATGAAGTGCGGGCGATGGAGCGGGAGAGCCGGCAGGCCAAGAGCCAGGTGGGTGCCAGCCAGGTGTGGTGCTGCCCATAGACCAACGGTTGGCTGTGGGCTGCCAAGAATGTGCGGGATGCGGCTGTGGGAGCCGGGCCTGACATCGGAGACTGTCATGCACCCAGAGTCTTTGCATCTGCCGATGCGGCTTCTTGCCACAAAGTGTTCGGCTGCTCCTCTGCTGATGCAGGCCAGCAGCCGCTGCAGCAGCGCAGACTCGCAGCGCGTGGCAAAAACCGCCCTCTGCACAGCTGGCAAGCCCTCCGCAGCTGCGGCCGATGCAGCTGCCATCCAAGTTCAGTCGGCGCCGGGGCGGGCGGCGGAGGAGGCAGTTGGCAAGCTTTCTCTGGGCAGCACGGAGCAGCCCACTGGAAATGGGATAGCCACAGCAGCAGCAGCAGCATCTTCAGCGGGTGAAGAGAAGGCGCTGCGTCAGCAGGAAGTGGTCGATGATGACGATGAGCCTGCACCTGCCAGCCCAGCAGGAGGGGCGGGCGCAGCCTTGCAGCGAAGCCACTGGCAGGCGGCCGGCCGACAGCAGCAGCCGGGCGGTCAAGGCGAGGATGATGATGATGAGGGGCTAGCCTGCAAGGTGGTGTGGGACAGCAGCCCCGCGCAGGCTGGTGCGGCGGCGCGGGTGCCGGCAGCCGACACCGACATGGCTGCCTTTGGCGGTGCCGGCGCCTCCATCCTGCAGCTGAAGGAGCAGGGCAACATCTGTCTCAAGGCAGGCGACTTTGAGGGGGCTGTCAGGTGCTACAGCGAGGCCCTGAGTGCCTGCAAGCAGTCTCGGCGCGCTGCACAGCAGGCGGCGCCTCTGCAGGCGGCGCCTCAGCCTGCGCAGCAGGACCAGCAGGGCGACCCTCCTTCGCACCAGCAGCACCCGGCTGCAGAGGGCCAGCGGGAGGCGACCGGGCACCAGCTGCTGGCCACCCTGCACAGCAACCGCGCACACGCACTGCTGCGCCTGAAGCGAAACGAGGAGGCAAGAGGGGCAGGCAGGGCGCGGTGTTCAGCTAGCTGGCGATGGCACCAGTGGCAGCTGCTTGGGGAACTACTGCAGCATACCCTGCATCTAGTTGCAGCATGCTTCCTGTGTTCGCTGCTGTCCTCACCATCAACACTGAGTCTGATGCCCCCGTCACAATCACTCCACCACTGACAACTGCCTTGTGCTCTGCATCTGGCCACAGGCGGCTGTCGATGCGCTGCTGGCTCACCGCCTGCACCCGAGCTGGCCCAAGCCACTGTACAGGTGCTGCTGCCGTTGTGGTTGGGAGGTGGTGTGGCGGGCTGCTAACTCAGCCTTCTCTACTCCGCCTGCTGCCGCTTAGAGCATAGCCACAGTCACCACCAGGGGCACCCCTTGGGCACCGTGCAGGCACCTGTGAGTGCCTCACCCAGCGGCACCACCCCCATGCGCTCCTCCCGCAGGCTGGCACAGGCCAAGCTGGCGCAGCGCCAGTGGGCGGCGGCGGTGGCGGCCTGCCGGCAGGGCCATGCACTGGCTCCCAAAAACTCGGAAGGCCACACCGAGTTCACTCCGCTGCTGGACCGGACGGCGGTGGCGGCGGCGCGGGTGGGCAGCCTGGCTGGCTACGATGGGCTGCAGCTGGAGGTGAGGTGCTGTGGGGAGGAAATGATAAGGGGAGCTCGCCCTTGCCTGCGGCCGGCAGGTTGGGGCCGCAGTCCGCATGCTTGCCGGCCTAGGTCAGCCTGGCAGCATGCTGCCCTGGTGCAAGGTCCCATGCCCCACATCCACTCAACAGCAACACACCGTTGCTGCCCCCGCAGGTGCGCAGCGCGGGCAAGGACGCATGGATGGGGCGCGCTGCACCGCACGTGCCTGAGCTGGACGGTCCGGAAGACGAGGACACGATTGGGGTGGTGACGCACCTGCCGCTGCCCAGCAGCAGCGGCGGCGGTGGCGGCGGCGGCGGCGGCGGCAACGGCGGTGGGGCGCTGGTGGCGGCCGGGGCCGCGAATGGTGATGGCCGGGCCGGCAGCGGGGCCTCTGCCGGGGATACGCTGGTGGCGTGGGATTACCACCAGGCGGGCGAGGCGGGCAAGCGGCGGCGCACCAGCTTCCGCAGCGTGCGGGAGGCTGTGGAGGCGGCGCGCGACGGCGACCGCATCCTGCTGCGCTGCGGCACGCACAACGGCATGGGGTGAGGCGGCGGGCGGGCGCACTGGCAGCGATGGGGACCGTGGGCTGCTTGCGCTGCACCAGCCGGGGCTGGCAGTGGCTCCTGCCGCTGATGCTGCTCCTGGCGCTTGGTGTTGCTGGGGCAGCCAGCGCCCGGCTTCCGGCCCCGCCTCACCTACCTCTGTCCCTGCCCTTCCCTGCCCTGCCCCGCCCTGCCCTTCCCTGCCCCGCCCTGCCCTGCTGCAGCGAGTGCGTGACCGTGGCCAAGCGGCTGCTGATTGAAGGGGAAGGGGTGCTGGGGGACGCAGTGCTGGACCAGCGGGCAAACGTGCCCGCCTTCCGAATCGTCAGGTGGGCGGTGTGTGGCCCTGCTGACTGCCAGTGTGCGCCTACATATGTTTGGTGTCTGTCATGCCTGGTGTCTGTACAGGTGGCAGGTGGCAGGTGGATGGTGTGGGGCTGCCCCTGGCTGGTGCCTGCTGCACTGCCGGCCACCCCCCTTAGCCCTGTCTTGCCCATGCTTGCCTTGCTTGCTTGCGTGGGAGGGTTCACAGTCCATATGTGAGCAAGGCCAAGCTTGCAGCGCAGGCTTAGAGTATAGCCCCCCCTCCCTCTGCAGGGGCGGCGTGGTGCTGCGCAACCTGGACATTGACTTTACCGGCCTCCGGGAGGCGCTGCTGGTGGAGGGGCCGCCCGGCGCGCACCCCAGCCCGCTGGTCGCCGGCTGCCGCATCAAGTGCAGCGGCGACGACGCCGTCAACGTTGGCGGCGCGGGTTGGTGGGCGGGTGGGCGGGTGGGCGGGCGGGGACGTGGCGGGGCTGATGTTCGCCTATGGCAGGACAGGGGCGCTGGGAGCGGTCGTGCTGTGCTGTGCTGTGTTGTGCTGTACAGTGCACGCCACACGGCTCACACCGCCTGCCTGCCCGCCCGCCCCGCCTCCCACGCCCCTCTCCAGCCGCCCCCACCTTCCTGCGCTGCGAGCTGTCTGGCAAGAAGTGCGGGGTGAAGGCGCTCGGCAGCAGCGCGCCGCGCCTGGAGCGCTGCACCATCACCAAGTGCGGGGAGCAGGGCGTGAGGGCCATGGAGGCGGCGGCGCCGGTACTGCAGGGGTGAGCGGGCGGCAGGCTTGGAGCAGAGATAAACGGAGGGAAGGAGCGGGCAGGGGCCCACCTGCAGCTGCTGCCGCCTGGCCTAGCGCTCCCAAGCTTGCTGGCGAGACATCCCATGGCACTCTTGCCTCCCCGCTGTCACCACACAAGTCCACCCTCCCGCCCTGCCCTGCCCCAACTGCCCCGCAGCTGCATCATCAGCGAGTGTGCCGAGGAGGGTGCTTTGGCAATGGACGCGGCCCGCCTGTCCCTCACAGCATGCACGCTGCGCGACTGCAAGGGCCCCGGCGTGGACGTGAGCGGCGGCGCAAGTGCCGCCGTTACGGGAGGCACCATCGAGCAGTGTGTGGGCGGGGTGTGGCTGTGGGATGCTGGCCGGGCGACGCTGCAGGCGGCCTCCGTGGCGGGCGGGCCCTCCCACGCCATCCTGGCCGACGGCACCGCCAGCCTGGAAGTGCGGGTGAGGCTCTGGGTGGCAGCATGGCTGGCTGGCTGGCGTGGCGGCATGCAGCTGGTCCCTCATCGTCAGGCGGCAGGGATCATCATTTTGCTTGTCCTTGGCAACCAGTTGTGTCACACTACCCGCCTCTGCGACTCATCTCTCCCCACCCCTCTCATGTTCATCGCAGGAGAGCACTGTGCGGGGCACAGTGCACGCCAGCGACGCCGCCTGGGCCGGCATCTTGCACCCCTCCAACCGCCTGCTGGACCCGGAGCAGCCCACCGACTTCCCGCCTGAGGAGGGGCCCTTCCGCTTCGTGCCCAACCCCTACACCCGCAAGCAGTGAGGTGCCGGCGGGGCGGCCATGGGCGGTGTGCGAGCTTGCCGGCATTTGATTGCGCTTTGAGAGTTGAGTTGGCACCGACCCTTCTGGTGCGGTGTTGCAACCGAGTTGGCCGGCTTTGATCCGAGAACGGTTAATTTGTGACCTATGATCCATCATCCATTCCTAAGTTCTCGTGCTCGTCCTGGAAGGCCTGTTTGCTCAAACCTGGCGCCGTCGATCCGGCGGCGGAAGCGGCGGGCGGGAGGGGCGGATGGTGGCTCATGCATGGCGGAGGGCTATCGCTGCTTCCTCAGTGGATTAGTAAGGCCCTCCCTAGCTAAAGGACATCCGTGATCATCAAGGAGGAAGGGCCGCCTAGCTGTCCTGGCCTCGGTAGAAGGCCCACGCCATGAATGCGGCTAGCGCAACGCTGCCCGCCATCTTGTGCCAGTGACATCTCCTCTGTCTCCCACCTATCCAAGTGCGACGGTGGCGAGGCAAGCAGGGAGCCAGGAAGAGATCGGCCAAAGCCCTCGGTGGACGATTGCTTTACTGCTCCCAACCCGCCTGCGACACCTCTGCACGACGCCTAGGAGTGCGTGCCGGCCGCGCACAATGCCACCGACACTGTGTAGCGCGAGCCACCAGCTTCCAACTCCGCCAACTCCTCCGCTGTCGCCGTTCGCTGCCGCCCTGGCCATGTTGCCACCATGCTATCACTGTGTGCAGGAAGGTGAAGCGGTGTTGAATCAGTTAGCGTTAGATTAGGGCTATGACCCTCCTGTCCCAGCTCTGTCTCTGTGTGAGTGCCGCCCCTCGGTTGAAGTCGCCTACACGTGGCCGCTCCTGCCTCTCCAGCCTGCCCCGCCTGCCTCCAGGCAGCACAGTGCCCTGCCCTGCGGCCCGCCTTGCTGTGTGCGCAGTTAGGGGAGCGCTCGCCGCCAGACCCAGGCAGCCAGGCAGCCGCGGCGGCGGCCACCGAGCTGCTCCAGGCGGCCGCCGACGGCGACCTGGGCCGGCTGGGCCGTGCCCTGGACACCCCCGGTTGCAACCTGGACGCCACCGACAGCCACGGCTGGACCGCCATGCACCTGGCCGCCGGCAGCGGTCATGAGGAATGCGTGGACAGGCTGCTGCGGAGAGGGGCCAGCCACGGGGGCAAGTCTGTGGACGGGCTGACGCCGCTGCACGTGGCGGCGGGCGGCGGGCGCGACATGTGCCTGGCGGTGCTGTCCCAGCTCCTGGGCGGGGCGCTGCTGTCCGAGTGCCCCCCCGACGGGGAAGGGCTGGCCCGCGCAGAAGGCTGCGTGGGGCCGCTGCTGTAAGGCGGGGGTGGATGGGAAGGCCCTTCCATCCACCGGCATTCGCGCCTGGCACATGGCGGCCGCGGGGGGCGACAAGATCATCGTGCGGGCGCTGCTGGCGGCCGGCGCGGACCCGGGCGCGCACCTCACCGTGCCGCCGACCTCCTTCACAACCCCCGCCAGCGTGGCGGATGAGTATGGGCACCCCGAGGTCGCGCAGCTGCTGCTGAGCGCCACCGCCGCCAGAGCAGGTGGGCGGAGGGGCGTGGCTCGCGGGCTGGTGGCCACAATTGCGCCCTTCCTGCCGGGGCTGCTGCTTCGGTGGTGCCCCTCTGTATCTCACTGCTGTGGCCGCCATTCGCTGCAGAGAAAGCGACTGCAAATGGCGCAGCGGCGCCAGACGTGCCGGAGGGGAACGGGAGAGGCTGAGCGCGGCTTCGTGTTCTCTTCCCTGCTTCTCGCTTGGTTTCTCATGTGGTGCTTGCTGCTGTGCTCTTTCAGCAATAAGATTGGCCTCCATGTTTATTATTTTCAGGGGCCGCTGCAATCGCCACCTGAATTCATCTGCTGCACAATCTTCTTGCTGGGCAGCTCCACATTGCGCTGTCCTTCAGTGAGTATATTACACTGCTATTGTACATCCATTCCGCAGAAAGTGACACATCAGAAAGGCAGAAGGCATGAAATTTATGTGCATGAGCTGTGCCAGGCAACACCTGAACTCATGCCAGGCGGCTCGTGCTGCGCCGCCGCGGCGTCTTTGGCGCCTGCCAACAGCTGCAGGCAGAGCCCACATCAGTGACGATCAGCTGGCTCTGGGCTTCACCCGTAGCAGCGGATGGGGTCTGTGCAGCCCTTGGCGGCGCACTGCCCGCGCCCGCCGCGCCCTCCCTTCTCGAGGTACTGCTGGTGATACTCCTCTGCAGAAACGTGAGGAGGAGCACAAGGTTGGGGCAAGGTGAGCACACACACATTGACGCAAGGAGGGGGCAGCGCTGGGGATGCCCAGGCAGGTCCCGGCAAAGGACGGCGGCATCAGGCCACTGCAAGTACTTCATGCTGAGCAGCATGTAGAGCAGGTGGCCAGGCAGGCAGGCGGGCAGGCAGAGGCGCCCACCTGCTGGCCAGAAGCTCTTGAACGCCTCAGCCTCCACTGCACAGCCCGGGATGGCCGCCACCCGCGCCTGCGCCACCTGCAACACTCGGCAGGGTGGGCCAGAGTGCAAGGCACAGGCAGCATCAATCAGCAAGGGCGAGCGGCGAGGCTACCCCAGGTCACGTGCCATGCATGCCACCATGGCAGGCACCCTGCCTGCCGTCCGTTGGTGAGCTTGCTGCATGTCCAGGCAGCGTGCGATGCCCACTGCAGCAAAGCTCGGTCCCAAAGGCCCACCTTCTGCTGCTCCTCGTTGTGCCAGTAGATGCCGGTACGGTACTGGCTGCCGTGATCGTTGCCCTGCCCATTCTTCTGCGGGCGCAGAGGGCGGCACAGGCAGGTGGCTGGGAGCGGTGAGCGCTGTGCGGAGAGCAGCTCTCGCGCCCGGGGCCAACTGCTGTTGGAAAGCAGGCTGCGCTGGTCAGCGTCTCCGTGCTCTGCCCGCAGGCACGCAGCACCGCGCTGATAGGCGCACCACCAGAATATAAACCCACGCATCACACACACACACACACACACACACACACACACCGCCACCACCGCCCACCCACCGCACCTGCATGGGGTTGATCTTCTTGAAGAAAGCGTCGCACAGCTGGTCATAGGTGACCTCTGAGGGCCGGTACGTCAGCTGTACCGCCTCAGTGTGCCCCGTCCGCCCGCTGCACACCTGCACTGGCCCGGGGACCGACGGTGGCGTCAGCACCGCCCACGGCAGTTGGTCCATCAAACCAGCAGCACCTGCTTCAGCCGCCGCTCCAGCACTTCGTGGCAAAGCCCTGCCAGGCGCAGCGAGCACCGAGACTGGCGGCAAGCGAGGAGCAGCGACCCCCAGGCAGGCCGCCGTACCTGTTCATAGGTGGGATGGTCAACGTGGCCCTGTGAGTATCCCACGGCTGTGGCCACCACGCCTGGCACGCGCTGGAAGGCCAGCTCCACAGACCAGAAGCAGCCGCCCGCAAAGGTGGCCAGCTGCTCGTCGGGCTGCCTGGTGGCGGGCGGCCACTGCGCCTGCAGGGCAGAGCAGCGGCAGGCGCCGGCGAAGGTGACAAGCTGGTGCCGGGTGCGTTGAAGTAGCTCTCTGTCTCGGTCCGATCATGTGCAAGTGTGCACGGCTGAATTGTGTGGCGCTGCTTGGCGTTTGCTGTGCTGCACCGCGATCGCGGTGGCTCACCGGTTTGCTGCTTCCGGTAGACATGGTGCTTCCCATGTAATGCCTGAGGCGATGGGAATGCGTGGGGATGAGGCTGGAAGCTGTGGGTCGGCAAGGCTTTTTCGGCTGTGCGCAGGAATGGGGAGCGAGAAACTGTAGGCGCAAACAATGCGCAGGCGATCAAATTCACGCGTCGCACAAACGCCTCCTGATGCCGATGCTACTGGAACCAGCGGGCGGCGGCCAGGTGGCGGACAGTCGGCGCTTTTGAGTGCTGCGGGGCAGTTGCAGCGAGGGGGCACAGCTGCTGGGCCCTGACGCGCTGTTGCTCTGCAGGCGCATTGGTGAGGCTTCCAGTGCCTGTCCTGCAATGGTTTCAGCAGCAGCAGCGATCGCTTCTCTGCTTCGCCAACCACGGCGCAGGGCGCAGGCCGCACGTGTGCCTTTTCGCAGCACCTGCACGGTTGCTTCTGGAAGGGCAGTTACACTCATTGAGGGGGTTCCGCGCTGTGCAAGGCCGTGCCGGTCCAAAAAGCAGGCTGGGGTAGCGAGGGGCTGGAAGTTGAGAAAGGAGGAATGAGGGACCAATCCGGTGGCTGTACAAGAGCAGGCCGTCACTGGTGACGACAGCAGGCAGAGCAGAGCAGGAAGGGAGCAGGGGGTGGAAGGGGTGCAATCGTGCAAAGGTGCAGGGATGCATGCATGGGGCAATGTGTGCAGCAGGTAAATGGGGTGGGGGTGCGCAGCGTTCTCAAATTCTCCCTCAAATCGGGCGGACATCGGCACGCACTACTCACAAGGGGCGGCGGGTCGCGAGCAGGGGGGGCAGCTTAAGGAAGCGAGCAAACTGTGTGCAGCAAGGGGAGCGTGGGGTTCTTTCTCAGCGAGAGCGGCAGCGCGCGGGCGCGCCTGCAATGGCAGGCACGACCATGGGGCGCTACCGGGGTCTCCAGGTAGACTCCTAAAGTGTGTGGAGGGGTAAAAGCTGAAGAGGGCCCCACCCAGGCTGCTGGCCTACTGGCACAGGCAGCCCGGGGTGGGGGCATCTGGGAGGAATTGGGTTCCTGGGCTGAAGGCCCGTTAGGCTGAACTATCTCTGTGTCTCTGGGTCGCCAGCCGGAGGGAGGCGGGCTGGCGGTGCGAGCAAGCTCACTCGCTGACCGCGGGCAGGCGGAACGAGGACAGGCTCTTCTCAGACGGACTGCGCGTGCGCGCCATAAAGCTGCCCTGCTTGGCAGAGCCGGCTGCTGGCTCCGCCTCGGCCAGAGGGTTGTCGGTCCAGCCTTCCTCAGAGGAGGGCCCGACAGCCCATGGCATGCCGGCCATAGCGCCCGCCGAGGCGGCGGCTGCCGCGGCCGCGGCGCGGCCGCCGCTGGGCTGGCTGTACAGGCGGCCGGGGCTGCGGGAGCCGCCGCCCGCGCTGTCCTGGCGGGACAGATTGGAGGGGCTGCGCGTGGGGGTGCCCTCGCCGCCGATGCTGCCCTGGTGGGACAGCCGCCCGCCGCCGTTGGCGCTCTCCTGCACGTAGAAGCGGCCGCTGGAGCTCTTCTGGCGATGCAGCTTGCCACTGCCGGCCGGGCTGGTGGCTGCCGCCTGTGGGCCGCCCGGCTGGCGGTACACCTTGGAGGGCGAGTTGGCTGAGCCGGCTGCGCTGACGTTGCTGGTCTGGCGGTACAGCCTGCTGCCTCCGGGGCTGCTCTGCATGCTGCCCTGGCTGTCCTGCCGCCGCGGCAGGCTGTTGCTGCTGTCCAGGCGCGCCAGCAGCGCGGCGGCGCCCCGCTCCGGCCGCTTCCCGGCCGCGCCGCTGCTGCTGCTACGCTTGGCGCCGCTGCTGCCGCCTGTGCTGGAAGGCGGGCCTGAGGCGCGGCTGTCGGGGCGCTTGTCCCCGCTGCTGCTGCTCCAGGAGGACATGGAGCCGCCGCTGGTGCTGACCTGGCAGCCCTTCTCGGGGTCCGCAACGGCGGCGCCGTGCGCCACGCTCTGCGCAGCCCGTTTGCGCCGGCTCCAGATGATGTAGCCGCCGCCGAAGACTGTGGGCAGGACAGGGGTGGGAGAGCGCCGATCGGGTGAGGAGCAAGGGTGGGGAGCAGCGACGGCCAGGCGGCCATGAGGCAGGGTCCCAGCACCGGCAGCTGGTGCGTGCAGCAGGGTAGAGACTTGAGACGCCGGCGCAGGCAGCGGGCCCACACACCTGCCAGACCCAGGACCACGCCGCCAGCGATGCCCGCGCCCAGCGCAGTCATCATGCTGCCGGTGCTGGTGCCGCCGCCGCTGTCGTCGCTGGTCGCGGTATCAGCAGCGCCGGGGTCGGCTGCGGGTGAGCCGGACACCTCGCCGCTCGTCTGCCCGCTGCTGCCCTCGCCTGACTCGCTGCTGTCGCTGCCGTCTCCGCTGGTCCCATCCCCGCCGCTAGACTGAGTGTCGCTGCTGGTCTCGCCGCCATCAGACGCGCCGCCAGACGCGCCTCCCGCCGCACCGTCTTCAGTGGCTGGGGCCGGGGCCGGAGTGCTTGCCTGCTCCTGTTCTGCAGAGGGCGCGGCGGCGCTGCCGTCGTCGCCGCCGGTGTCCGACGGTGTGGGAGCAGGCACCTCGCCCTCCGCAGGTGCGGACGCTGGGGTGCTGCTGTCGGGCTGCGGCTGAGCCGCGGGCTGGGCGGCAGGCTGGGCCGCCGGCGCGGCGCCCGGGGCGGGCGTGGGCGCCGCCGCGGGCACCGCCACCGGGGCGGCAGCCAGGCTGTTGAGATCCACGGGAGAGGCGACATAGTAAGCGGCGCAGTCGCCCACGCCCTGCATCGCACGGTCAAGGCGGCTGTGTTAGGCATGCAGGGAGGGGCCGCACCGCTGGCTGGGGCAGGGGCCTGCTTCCAAGCGGTGGCTGGCCCCTCACTGACAGGCTGGCCCTCATTGTGGGGCCCCTTCCGCTGTCACCTCATGCTGCTGCCCTTGCCAGCACGCACCTGGCCGCCGCGCGGGACTGCCAGCTCGCCGTCGCACAGCACATCCGGTGTCCAGGGGCAGTCCACCAGGGAGGGGCCGCCCTCGGCGCCCACGCTGGCGGCATCAAAGCACATCAGCACGCTGGCCAGCGCGGGCCTGCGGGGCAGGGGACGAAGCGCGGCCGGTCAGCGACATGCGCGGTTGCACGCGCGGCGGGGGCTTACACAGGCGGGAGCAGCACGCGCGGGCCTGCCGCGGGCATGAGCGCATCTTGCCGGCAGGGGATTCGCCCCAGCCCTCACCCGTTGCACTGGATGTAAGGTTCCGCGCCAAAGGCGGACGCCACCGCTGCCGCCAGCTGGGCGCCCTCCAGCGTGGTGGGGAGGTCCTGGGGCTGCACCCGTGGGAGCAAGGAGGGAGGGCAAAGGGCAAGGGGCAAGCAGGGAAGGCGTCAGGGCATGCGGTCGGCATGCAAAGACAGCAGGAGCAGCAGCAGGAGCAGCAGGAGCACTAGTGGTGGTGGCAGTGGCAGCAACCGCAGCTCCGCAGCTGGCACGCAGCCCCTTGCAAGTGCAGAACAGTGCAGTGCAGTACCCACCAGCGGGTACCGCCCGTCCAGCTGCAGGCCCAGCGCCAGGTAGGCAACTGCCGACTCGGCCGGGGTGCACTTCCCATACTCCTCCCAGGACGCGCGCCAGGATGTCTGGATGCTCTCCAGCTCCGCTGCGGCAGGCAGGGGCAGGCCGAGGGGTGGATGTGGACGTGAAATGTGCGTGCAGGGGACACTGGTTGGTGTGGGGCAGCCGCAGGCTGAGGTGAATATTTGCAAGTGGTGGGCGGTGTGCCGGGGCATGCCCTTGCAGGCGCGGGTGCTCGTCCAGCGCCGCAGCAGCGGATGTGGGAACCGCCACGTGCTGTGCCCGAGCGCAGGGCTAAGCGCGGTCGTGTGCGCTGGCAGCGCGCCCTCTGGCCCGCCCACCCCTGCGCAGCCTGGCCAGGTTCTGAGCGCCTCTCACCGTCGTGGTTCTGCCAGGCACACTCCAGGAGGTCCCGGGACAGGCCCGCCGCATCCATGTCCGCCTTCTTCAGGCCCCCCTTGCCCTTGCACCCGCTCTGCCCCTGCGGGCTGGCATCGCTTGCCAGTTGCAGCGCGCCCACGCTGAAGCTATCCCTGCACAGCGGAGCGGAGCGAATCCAGGCACGGCTCAGTGGCAGCCAGGCCATCCAGCACCGAGCGGGCATAGCTCCAGCTGTGTGCGGGATGGCGCGCGCTGCTGGTGTGTGGCGGAATGTGTGAATGTGTGCCGGCAAGCGGTGCCTGTGCCAGGAGGCTCCTGGAGGCGTTTGTTTATGGCCCAACCCCTGTTTATCGTGCCCGCTGCAACAGGGTACTGCTGGTGCGGGCGCTGCGTAGCCCGCAGATGCTGGATGGATAGCTCATGTCAATGCGGCGGCAGTTTGCATGACCACCCGGAGCGGGCTGCGCCGCTTCCAGTGCTGCAAGCTGGCCAGCGAGCCGCAGCCAGCCTTCCAACTGCTGCCATGCCATGCGTCAATACAGGGCAATGCGCAGCACCCTCGCTGCCCCACTGCTGGCCCAGCTTGGCGGTGGCAAATAGGGAGCAGTACGCGGCGGCGGCGGCTGGCGCAGAACCAGAGCGCCCTCCGTGGGAATCAGGCGGCGGACTCACGGGTAATCGGGCTCGCAGGCGCCGGTCGCACACGCGCTGGGAGTCCAGTCTCTGAGACAAGGGGAACAAGGGCACATGGCATGCGGGGTTGAGGTGAGTGAAACTCAACCCCAAGGCAGGGCCCATTGTTGACCAGGCTGTCATTGGCAGCAACACCGAGTGCTGCTGCGCCCACCTCTTCAACACCAGCACGTCGGCTGCGCTTGCGGCGCCCAGACTGGCCAGTAACAGCGCCAGCCACAGCCGCCCTGAGAACCCTCTGGTCATCGTGTCATAAAAGTGGGCGGCGATCGGGGTGGTCGGGCCCGAGGGCTCAGCTACAGCGGCGCAGGAAGGCAGCCCAGCACGCAGCAGCGTCCGCACACTTGCCCCCCAAAATGGGTGTGTGAGACGCAGGCATGCTCTTGCGTTTGTGGGTATTTCCCGGGATGGCACTTGCTGCGTTCGAACGGTGGCCAGACCTTGAAAATCTGTACTGCACAGTCGGCGGTGGGTGGCGGCGGCGGGTGGGCATGCAAGGCGACGCCTTGCGCTCCATTCCTCTTACGCAGCTCCTGGTTGCTCCTTCCATCGACAACACGTCGTGCACACGGCAGTGTACAGCACTGGTCACACCGATAAACGATCCAGCACACCTGGCGGAAGCTCTGACGATCAACCCGTGGTGGGTACACTGTGGGTTTAGTGGGCCCTGTGAAAGGGCTGCCCCTCAGGCACATCTGAACGCGGTATAAACCACTGCTCTTGCCCTGGAAGCTGCTGCAGCGGCAGCACAGTGCTGAAGCCGGCTTCCGCTGCAGCATGCGTCGCAGCCCGCTGGCCCTCGCCGCCGCTGTCCCAGCCCCGCTCGCTGCCGCCATCCCCGCGCCAGGCCTTGTCTGCGGAGCCTGCTGCTGCCGCGCCGGCCGCGGCAGCCCTTCCCTCCCGCAGGCCGCGGCGATAGAGGCAGTAGCACGTGCCGAGCACTGCAGGCAGCGCAAACCAGCAGGGGGAAAGGGCTTGGGCACGGCAGCGGCAGTTGGGGCCCACCAGGCGCAGCCAGAAGCTTAAGGCGCCCTTGCTCCAAGAGGCAGTGTGCCCTGGCGGCTTGTCCCCCTCTGCGCACCTGCCACTCCCAAAGCGATGCCGGCGGCAATGCCGGCCCCCAGGGCTGTTCCCATGCTGGCTGAGTTGCTGCTGCCGCCGCTGCTGCTGCTGCCGTCAGGGGAGACAAATACGCTGCTACCGGCAGCAGCGGCAGCTGGCAGCTGTTCCAGAGTTACGTTTGGAGGGGCAGGGCTGGAGGGCGCGGCTGGTGGCGGGGCCGGTGCTGCCGCTGGCGGTGGTGGAAGTGGTGGCGGCGTGTACCGGGGAGCAGCTGCCGGTCGGCGCTTCCGAGCCGGGCTGCTGCCAGGCGCGGGTGCAGGGGAGCCTCCATCTGGGACGGCAGGGTTTGCAGGCAGGGATGGTGGCTCTGGACGAGGCTTATTTGGAGGCGGCGGCTTCCGTTTACGAGGCAGGGGTGGGCGAGCTGGCGGGGGAGTGGGCGGCGGGCGGCTAGATGGCGAGGGAGAAGGCGGGTAAGCCAGCAGCGGCCGCGGGCTGGGGGGAGGTGGGGGCGAGGGATTCGGGCTGGGATTCGGGCTGGGAGGAGGTGGGGGCGAGGGTTTTGGGCTGGGCGGCGGCGGGCTGGCACCGTAGCGGACTGGAGAGGGGCCGTAGTAGGAGGCACACAGCGCAGCGCCCTGCAGAGCAGCACCTCAGTTGGAGGGCGCTGAGCTGCTTCACCAGACAGCTGACATGGCTGGCAGGCCCCAGCTTCCACCAGAGGGTGCAGCAAAGCATCCTGCTCGAGGCGGGCGTCTACTCACCCACCCCGTGCGTGGCACGGCGAGCCGCACAGCACACTCCATTGGGGGCTGCCAGGGGCATCCCACCAGCTCACGGCTGCTGGGCTCGAAGCAAAGCTGGATGGCAGCCAGCTGCCCGCAGCTGCGGCAGGTGGGTTGGTGCCACCAAGCCCTTGTTCAGTGCACAGCAAACACACCACCCAGCCACCCTGCCAGCCTGCCAGCTGTCGGCGGAATGCATGCCCCAGCCCTCGGCATGCGGCGGCTGGTGGCTCTCCAGACCTCACCCGTCGCACTCGATGATAGGCTGTGCGCCAAAGGCGGCCGCCACCGCTGCGGACAGCCAGTTTCGGTTCACAGCGGCGGGGAGGTCCAGCGGCTGCAGGGAAGAAGCATGCCCATGCGAGTGTTGTGTGTCGTGTCGCCACAGGCCAAGGCTTCAGGCTACGTACAGGCACACCAAGCGGAACCAGCGCTGCTGCCAGCAGGCAGCTGCACGGCAATAGATCCAGGATTCCGAAAGCCAGCTGGAGCGAGACTGTCGGATGGGCAGCGAGCGCCGCCCACCAGCGGGTACTGCCGGTCCAGGCGCATGCCCAGCCGCAGGTAGGCGGCGGCGTTTCCCAGCGGCGTGCAGCGTCCGTAGTCCCCCCACTGGTCCGCCCATGCGTCCTCTGGCTTGCTGACCGCCGCTGCACCCGCATGGGAGGGCACAGGGCCAGCGGCGGCGGCTGGTGGGGTGTGCACAAGCCAACACAGCGTGGTACGTCGTGTGCCGTCGCCGAGCCGCTCTCAGAGGCTGACAACCCTCGATCCTCCAGGCTGCACAGCTGGAAGGTCACAGCAACTGCTGCTGGCCCACTCACCGTCATAGTTCTGCCAAGCACAGAAGATGTCTCTGCGTGCGGTGCCTGCCGCCAGCAGCTCGCCGCCATCTGGGCCTACTGCGGGGAGGGCCATGGGGACAGGACGCATGCGTGCATTTTCTAGTAGAATGAAAGCTGCAAGTGAGGGTGCCACACCGTTGCTACGCTGCGCAGCTATCGGCAGTGGGGCAAACCAATTGTGCATGAGGGAGCAGGCAACATCGCTAGGTAGCAGCGGCGTGAGGCCGAGCGGCGGCGCCGGACTTGCCTCCGCCGCAGTTCATGGCTGGGTCCGTGCTGCCGTCTGGCACCAGGTAGAAGGAGTCTATGCTGAACGAGTCCCTGCATGTGCCATAGCAGCATGGGCACAGATCAGCTGGAGTGGGAGTCGCCAGCTGCCGAAGCCACTCCCGCCACCCCCCGCCAGGGCCTGTGGGGCAAAGGGCCCGGCACTTTCGCGGCGTGCCTGTAAACTCACGGGTAGGATTTACAGCCTCCGTTGGAGCAGCTAGTGGGGGTCCAGTCTCTGCAGAAGCAGCAGCAGAAGCTAGGCCATCGAAGCATGCGCATGCCTGGCTCCCGCCCCGCCAATTGGCGCACAATGCAGACGTAGGCAGCGCCATGATCTGTTGGCATCCACCGCGGCTCGTTGGCGCACCTGCGGAGCACCAGGACCTCTGCACCGAGTGCCGCCGCAGTCCAGAGGCTGCAAGCCAGGAGGAGGGCCAGCCTGGACACTGCGCTCATTGACATGCGCCTCTTACGTATAAATAATATGTCCAGGAGATCCAGAAGATTGTCTCCAGCGCTCGATGCATCTCCAGAGAGCCGCTATGGAAAGTGGCGCGCGGTCCCGCCGGCGGCAGCAGGTGGCGGTTGCCTGCTGGTGGAGGCTTCTGATGAGCTTTTGCGTTACTACTCATTTACATGGGTTATGGCATTTTCCCGTAGTCTGTAGCATCTGTACAAAGTCACAACTCCATTTGGCGCTGGCGCCGCCAGCGGGGCGGCGGCAGGCTGTTGATCCAAACCGGCAGTTCAACCGCGTGATACATCTTTACAGCGCCACTTTGTCGTGTCTGCCTTCTGGTGGCTCGGCAGTCACGGGAGCCGCCCCTCTTCCGCTACCTCTGGGTGCCATGGCCCTATTTTTTCCGCTTGCGTTTCATCTGGAGTTCGAATCGAACGTGCTGGTGCGTGCTGGGGTGCGGTTGGCTCGGTGTCGCACATGCCAAGCTTGATCGCCGTGAACTGCGATAGCTTAGGCCGCAGCGCACGACACAGCAGCAGGCAGGGAGCTGCCACGCCGGCTGCTGCTGCCAATCCAGCCACCAGTGCCACCGCCGCCGGCTGCCGCAGGATGTCGCCGTTCACCCCACCCGCCGCCTGCTGGCCAGTGCGCTCGACGGCGGCACGCTGCAGCTCCATGTATACGACGCCTGTGACGGCTCCGGCGGCGCCACGCTTCAGCTGCTGCCGCTGCACACCCTGGGCGGCGCCACGCAGCCCGCCTGCACGGCAACCTGCTTCCTGGGCGGCATCGGCGGCACCAGCGACAGCAACGGCTGGGTGGCCGCAGGCGGCGCGGCGGGCGGGCTGTCGGTGTGGGACGTGGACACAGGCGCGGCGGTGTGGTCCCGCAACAGTGCGCACAGCTCCAGGGTCAAGTGCGCCGCTCCGCTGGGGCCGCAGCTTCTGGCCACAGGGGACAGCTGGGGAGGGCTGCACGTGTGGGACTTACGCAGCAGGGCGGCAGCAGCGGGGGTGCAGCTGCCGGCGGATGGCGCCGCCACAGACCTATGCTTGGTGGAGGGCAAGGTGTGCGGGGCTGCGGCTTTTTGAGTTGATGTTGTTGGCTGAGCGCATCCACGCTGCCTGCATTTGGAACCTGGTCGGAGGTGACGGTGGGGCGCCGGGCGGCTGCCTGCTGTGCCAGTGGAGCATCAGCTCCCGACACGGTTGCTGACCCCGCTGACAGCATGCATGCATGCACCTGCCTGCTTGCCTGCCTGCCAGCAGGACTCGCTCGTTGCGGTGAGCAGCAGCGGCACCGAGGGCCACCTGTCGACCATCAGCCTGCGACAGATGTCCAGCCCCAAAGTGGGTGCATGCCGCCCCTCTCGGCTGCTGGTGCCCTGCACGGCACTGCTTGTGCAAAGACCGCACCAAGAATGGCGGCTGGCGTGTGCGGGGTGCAGGGAGCATGCAGCACGCGATCCCACCTCTCTCCCCGCCTCCGCGCCTCCCGTAGGTGATGGGCAGCTGCCGCCACGCGGCGCCCATCCACTCCGTCGCCACGCTGCACGGCGGCCGCACGGTGCTGTGCGGCGACGACCGCGGCAAGTGGGGGCTAGGCCGCTGGGGCCAGCTGCGCGAGGGAGAGGTGCTGTTCAGGGCAGGTGAGGGCTGCTGCCGGTCTGCTGCTTGCTGAGTCCCCCCAACAAAAGGCGCATGCCTGTCAGGGTACCTGCCAGGCAACTCTCCAGCCCAACGCCATGCCTGCTCGCTGCTGAGCCCGCTGTTCCTTCCTCTGCCGTCCATGCCGCTCCGCCTCATTCCTCCCGCCTTCCTGCAGGCCATGGGGCTGAGCCCGTATCAGCTCTCGTGCAGTTTGATGACAGCGGCTGCATCAGCAGCAGCAGCGACGGCAGTATCCGGGCGACGCGCATCGAGGGGCCGCCCTACGAGGTGTCGCCGCGGCCGGCGGTGCAGGCGCACGGCGGCGGTGAGCGCCGCTGGGGGGCAGGCATTGTTTGGCCCAGCTGCGGCATGCCTGTGCTTGCCGTGACTGTCTGGCAGAGTGCTTCAAATTGTAGAGGTGGAGCTCTTGCTGTGCATCGCTCGCAGCTCCTGAGCTCTGGCCGCCGCGCCGCGCCTGCCGTGCAGGCAGCCGGGTGCGGCTAGCCCTCAGCGGCAGCGGCGCCTATGTAGCCAGCGCAGCGGTGGGGGAGCGGTCTGTCAAGCTGTGGCACACCGAGCTGCTATTCAATGCGGCGCAGCAGGCACAGCAGGGTGGCGGCAGCCCCAGCCTGGTGGCCCAGATGTCCCTTCGGCGGGACCGGGAGGCGGCGGCGGCGGGGGCGGGCCGCAACGGAGCGCAGCCGCAGCGGCAACAGCAGGCTGGCGCCGGCGCCAGCGCCAGCGCGCAGGAGGCGCGGGAGGAGCAGGTGTGCATCGTGTGCATGGAGGCGGCCGGCACCGGCGGCTTTGTGCACGGCGGTAGCATGCACGGCGGATACTGCGGGGCGTGTGTGAGGGAGATACGCAGGAGCCGGCCGGGGCGGTGCCCGACCTGCAACCAAGCGGTGCAGAGCTACGTGGAGCGAACGTTCAGCTGAAGAGGTTGCGCTCCCGTCTCGTGCTGTTGTCGCTTGCATGGGAGCCTGTTGATCTGCTGTGGCCTGTTGACATATGTGAATGCCTGCTAATGCTACAACAAGAGCTGAACCACCACTTTGGTCGCACGAGTGCACGGCAGGTCTGTATGGTCGACTGCTGCTACTGCTGCTGCTGGCTGGAGGGTCAGCGCTCCACGGCACGGCCCTGGGGGCGGAGCGACGCCTCACACAGCTGCCTGCAGGCGCAGGAGGGCAGCCCCACGGTATGAATAGCAGGCACTGGGGGCCGACATGCCACTGTGCGGTGGATTCTGCTGGCATGGAAGCAGCACGCAGCACGCAGCAGCCCATGCACACGGTTGTTGTGCCCGTCACCTCAGCTGCTTGATGACATGCTCGAAAGCGGGGCGCTCTGCCGGGTCCTGCGCCCAGCAGGAGCGCACTAGCACGGCATACGCGGGCAGCGACGCCGCAAAGGCGGCGTTGTCGGCAGCGGCGCCCGGCAGCTCTGCCGCGGCTTCGGGGACAGGCAGGCGGGTGCCAGCCATCAGCTGGGCCACCACCTGCAAGGCGGGCAGGCGGGCGCAGACGGCGCTGGTTCAGGAAAGAATCCAGGGAATGGCAATGCCCAAAGAGATGCTGCCTGGGATTGCCATTGGATGTCACGCCAGTGTGGCCCAGCGGCCCGACCCAGCATGCGCGCAGGCGCTCACCGTCCAGGGGCTGGACTTCTCCCAGGGTATGGTCCAGGTCACTGCAGGGGCAGGGGAGCAGGGGCGATGTCAGCGTCTGCAGCGAGGCGGCCTGGACGGGCGCACGAGCGGCCCCGCTCGCTTGGCGAGCGCGCCCCAGCGCCAGCACGCAAGCAATGCAGCAGCAGCAGCAGCAGCAGCAGCAGGTGTGCTGCCACCAGCGATGCGCCACTCACTCAGCTCCCAGAGCACCACCCCGAAGCTGAAGACGTCGCTGGCAGGGGAGGTGGGCTTGCCCTCCAGCACCTCTGGCGCCTGGCACGGGGCAGGAACCAGGACGGCAGACACAGCTCGTGTCAGCAAGCACCCACGAAGCCTTGGCCCTCTGCAATGGGGTCCCAGAGCCAACCAACACGGCGCCAAGGCAAGCCCAAAAGGGGCGGGGCAACAGCCAGGGCCCGCCCGCCTCACCAGCCACTTTGGGTTGGCCCCCGCCATTGTGCCCGTCTTGGCGCTGCCGCTGCGCTCCGGGTCCATAATCTTGGACAGGTTGAAGTCGCAAACCTGGGGGAAGGGCAGGCACGGCAAGGCATGCAGGCGCGGTAGGCAGTGGTGTGAGCTGTGGGTTGCAGGCAAGTGGCAGCTTGAAAGCGTTGTGGGAGGCGGTGGGCACTAGGGAGTGCGTGCGCGACGACACCACCACTGTCAACGCTCCTGCTGCCACGGCCTCCATGCAGCTCCACATGCCGCACCTTGACCCGCCAGGTGCTGTCCACCAGCAGGTTGGGGCTCTTAAGGTCGCGGTGGATGATGCCGCGGCGGTGCAGGTAGAGCATGCCCTTGGCCGCATCCAGTGCCTGCACACAGCAACGCAGGCAGGCAGGCAGAGTTGGCTTGACCGGCAAGCATCAAACCCACCGCTTCCGTCCGCAAACAACGAGGGTTGACTGCACGCAGCCCTCCAGCAGCAGCCAGCACGGCTGGCAGCTGGAAAGAAGGGGCGGGACCCCACCAGGTTCAGGCGGCGGGACCAGGTGAGCTGTGCCGCCCGCTGCGCCGACATGCGGCCGCCCCGAAGCACGTCCGTCAGCGACCCCTTGCCGCAGTACTCTGCAGCAGTGCAACCGGGGCATGCACACTCATACTCTTATAGCAAAGCAACAGGGCGTGTGCAAAAGGGAGGAAGGCCAGCTGAAATCGCCACAGGCACCGCATGGTCGGCAACCGCTGGCCCGCATCCCAGCCGCCAGCCTCCTCCTACAGGCAGCCGCAGCCCCCACCACCCCCACCACCCGCAATGCACAACGCAACGCAACGCACCCGTGATCATGGCGGGCGGGAAGGCGGACACGCCCATGAACTGCACCACGTTTGGGTGGCGCAGCGAGGCCATCAGGCCGCACTCCTTCTGCAGGTTGACCAGCACGGGGTTGGACAGGGTCAGCGCCGCCTCGTCCGCCGAGCCCTTGATGTCCTGCAGCGACAGCAGCAGCTTGACCGCCACCAACGTCTCGTGCAGCTTGGCCAGGTAGACCTGCGGCAGATGGCAGGCGGCCAGGGAGGGTGCTCATCAGTACATCATGGGGACGAGACTGGCTGCCTGGCCCATGCCGTGTGTGTGCACGGGCATGTGTATGATGTGGGGCAGGCGAGGGAAGGTGTGCCTGCCTGCAGCAGCAAGCCGCCAGAGGCTCCCACCTTGCCGAAGCTGCCTTCCCCGATGGGGCGCACCAGCACCAGCTCCTCGTACTGGATTTCCCTGCGGTACATGCGGTACGGCATGCACAGCATGAGTAAGGAGCATGCCACCGAGTGCACAAAGCATGCCCACAACAGCAGCACGCACGGCGGCACGGGTGTTGCTCACCAGGGCCGGATGTCCACCATGCAATTGCTGCTGGTGCGGGTTTGCAGCACATTTGTGCTGCCGCCGCTGCCGCGGCTAGTGCCCTGGCTGCCGCCGCTGCCATTCAGCGGCGGCGGGGCTGCGGGTGGGGCTGCAGCGGCCGTGGCCGCAGCGGCTGCCGCGGCTGCTGCAGCACCCTGCGCCCAAGCCGCTGCTGCCTCGGCGCCGGCCGAGTGTGGTTGTTCCTGCTGCTGTGCCTGCTGCTGCGCCTGCTGCTGTTGCTCAGCCCACGCCGCTGCTGCCTCGGCACCGGCAGAGTGCGGCTGTTGCTGCTGCACCTGTTGCGCCTGCTGCGCCTGCTGCTGCTGCTCTGCCCAAGCTGCTGCTGCCTCAGCGCCAGCCGAGTGCGGCGCCGGCTGCACCTGCTGCGTTGATTCCTCCTGCTGTTGCTGCGGCTGCTGCGGCCCCTGCGCGTGCGCGTGCTGGCTGCTCTGCTGCTGCGTCTGCTGCTGCTGCTGCTGCTCCCGGCGCGTGGCCAGCTGGCTGTTGACCCAGCTCAGGATTGGGTCAGAGAGCAGGGCGAAGGAGCCTTGGCTGCTGGAGCCGCCGCTGCTGGAGGTTCCAGCGGTGGACACAGTGCGTGTCACATCCCCATCATCCCCTTCCCACATCCCGCTGCTGGAGCTGCTGGCAGGAGGCAGGGGCGCCTGCTGCTGGCCAGGCGAGGACTGCCGCTGATGCTGGCCCCAATTGGGGAGATGCTCCGGCTGCTCCGGCTGCTGTGGCGAGGGCGGGGCGCCTCCCAGTGCTCTGTCAACAAGCGACTGAGTTGCGGTGGGGGCTGAGGGCGGGCGCATGGCCTGCTCCAAGAGGGACAGCGTGGCAGGCGGGGCCGAGGGCTCCCCCAGCGTCGCCAGCAGAGCACTGCCGCCGCTGGGGCCTGACGCAGCGGTAGTGGCGCCATTAGCCACCCGAGCCTGCTGCCAGGGCTCCTGCTCGCTCTGCTGTTGCTGCTGCTGCTGCTGCTGCACCGCTGCTGCTGCAGGTGCCTGCCCGGGGCTAACGCTCGCAGGCGGCGGCGAAGGTGACGGGGCGTCGCCCTGCCGCAGGGCCGCATACGGCGGGCGGTAGTCCTCTGCTTCTGTGGCTGCTGCCACCGCCGCCGTCTGTGGCACCTGATTGCCGTTCACCTCGGCTGGCCCACCCGACTGCCGAGCACCGAGGCCGGCAGACTGGCCCAGGCTGATAGCCCCGCTAGTCTGGGCTAGCACCACGCCGCCAGAGGACCGCCCACTGGTCCTGGCAGAGAGGCCCGGGCTCAGGTTCCCCGACTGGCCGCCGCTTGGCCGCCCCTGCAGCGCCGGCGATGCTGGCAGGTGGCCGCTGGCGTTGGGCGTGCCCAGCCCCGCGGAGCCGCTGCCGCTGGCCCTGGCCGCCGCCTTGTCCCGTTTCCGCGCCGCAGCCAGCTTGCTGACATGGACGCTCATCTTTTGAGCGCTGGTCTGGTTGCCGCTGGCCGCCGCCACATCGATGGCCGTCTTGCCCTCGGCATTCTTCAGCATGGGGTCGGCGCCGCTGCAGCCCAGGGCGGCACAAAGAAGGAGTCCAAGGCTTTCGCTACCCGTCCAGCACAAATGCAGCACAGGAATGCTCGTGGGATGGCAGGGCCAGAACTTGGCCGTCGCCAGATGGGGCCCGCCTGCCCAGCAGCAGCCCAGCCCACCTGTCCAGCAGCGCCTGCACGGCGCGCCCGGTGGCGTGCGTCGCGGCGGCGTGCAGCGGCGAGCCGCGCAGCTTGGTGACCGCATTCACATCCGCCCCCGCCTTGAGCAGCACCTGCAGGGCACAGGCAGTTCTCTGGGTTGCTGGACAGGTGTTGACATCAGGGGGGTCGGGGAAGCGGGTGCCACCCGCCAGCGAAGGGGCAAGTCGCGACCAGCAGTTCGGCAGCCATGCATGCGCATGGCGCATGCCCGGGTGATGCAAGCTTTGCCCAGCCCGCAGCCTGGAGCCAGGGCCAGCCTCACCCGGATGCACTCGAGCTGATCGTGCTGTGCGGCGGCGTGCAGCAGCGTGCCGCGCCCGCCCTGGCGGTCGAGTGCGCTGGCATTGCCGCCCAGGTCCAGCCACCGCTCCAGCTGCTTGGCGTGACCTGCAGGGGAGCAGGGCATGGCGTGGCAAGGTTCAGGGACAGCGCCGGGGCAACAGGGCAGCAGCTGGGTGTGGGCAAAGGTGTTTAGGGTGTGGGCAGGGGGCAGCAACAGCGGGGGCGGTAGTGCAGCGGCGGTGGAGTCGCGGCGGTGGGCGCAATGCTTTAGAGGCTGGCGGATCGTTGGCGAGCTGGTTCCCAGGCTCTGCACACGCCAATTGGGCCGCCGATAGCTCACCGGTGCTTGCCAACACCCAAGGGTCCCCCAATTCTTTGCTGGTGGCGCAGCCCATGGCGGGAGCTGGTGCGCCAGATAACAGAGATCTGCTGCAGCCGGAACCGGCCACGCCTGAACCCCGGCCAGTGCTCACGCGCCGGCCATGGGCGCCATTCCTCGCGGGTACCCACTCTGGCTGTGACACACGATGCAGTGGAGTTCGAGAGTTCCCTGGAGTCGCTGCAAGCGTTGGCCCCAGTGGATCTGCGTGTCAACTTTGGACTCGACTCAAGGCCTTGCAAGGCTGAGCTTGCACAATGACATTCGACTCCAGCAGGCCACACACAAGGGAATTGGAGGCGACGAAATGCCCAAGTGCCCGCATTGCTACCCTGCGTCGCGCCCGCCGGCGCCGGGCCGCCGCTGTCGCCGCCATCCGCAGCAGCTGCCTGCAACCGTGCCAAGTTACAGCAGCACGCGTGCACCAAGGACACAGAAACGCACAGGCAGCAGCGGCGAAATGAAATGGCGATGATCGGCGAGCTGCAGAGTAGAAGAGTCCCACCAGGCAGGGTGGCTGGCGGCAAGCGGGCCAGCAGGGGCCTCGGAGTTCAAAGCAACAAAAACAGTGTTGATGGTCACTCAAGAGCGAGCCCTGCCGGGCATCCGCAGGAAGAAAAAGAGGGAAGCAGGGAGTGAGGGACAGAGGGACTATAGGGATTGAAAAGCAATGCAACACACATAGTTCAAGGGGCGGCCGATGCCGCACGTAGTGTATGGCAGCCCACGTGCTACATGGGACAAGGACGCCCTGGCGCCAACATGGCGGCGCCCAGGAGAAGCTGCCGGCAGGCTGGGCCAATGCAGCTTCTGCCTGGGTCTGCCGGGTTCAATGAAGGTTGGTACATGCCGGTACATGTATCAGTTGGTGCGGCAAGGCCCACGCGTGCCAGCTGCACTACTTCTCCATCGAGCTCTTTGCCTGCAGCTCCAGCATCTTCCTGCAGCACAACAAACGAGGTCCAAGGCTTTTGTAGGGGCACGCCGGTCATGCGCACATCGACAGGCGGGCAGCGCGCCCCAGCCGTGTGCAACCCAGCCGCGCAGCCAGCGCTCCCACCAACAGCCCTCACCTCTCCCTCCACACCCACTACCCTGCACACCACACACATGCATCACCACACCACAGCCCGGCCCACCTCAGCTCGTGGATGCAGTCCTCAAAGGTGGGCCGCTCTGCCGGGTCCTGCGCCCAGCACCGCTGCAGCAGGCCCACGTAGTCATCCAGGCCCGCAAAGCGCTGGGTGTCGGGGCCGGGCAGCTCCTCCTTGGCGGGGATCTTCAGGCGCATGCCATCCATCAGCTTGCCCACCAGCTGCGGGGACGGAGGGAGGAGGAGAAGAGGAGGTGTGGTTGGCGAGGGCGAGGGTTCGTGGGTGTGTGCTGTTGGTGGTGGCGGTCAGGGTGGTGGAGGCTGGGAGAGGGGTCGAGAGGAGGGGGGCCAGAGGCGCAGGGAAGCAGCCTCAGGTGCTGGCTGCACATGGCAGGCAGGGAGCGGCGGCAGCAACTCACCCCCCAGGGGCTGACATGCGGCCACGGCAGCTGGAAGGTGACTGCGGGCCAGGGCGGGCGGGGACACAGCATGGGTCAGTGGGTACCGCTGCAACAGGAGCATGCCAGCAAGCAACCGGGTCTTGCTTGCAGGCATGCAGCCCAGCCATCGCAGCAGACGGCAGCCACTCACGCAGCTCCCACATCACGACGCCCCAGGAGAAGACGTCGCTGGCGGTGGTGGCGGACTCGCCGTTGAGAATCTCGGGTGCCTGCGGGCGGCGGCAGGCAGGGTGGGCAGGCAGGCAGGCACAGGGCGAGCTTCAGGGCTCCTACCCCTGGGGCCCGAGCCCCTGCCGCCACAAGCAGCAACACAAGCACCGCATGCATGTGAGCGTCAGCGTGGGCACAGCACCGCCTCCTCACCAGCCAGCGAGGGTTCATGTTAGCCACGGTGGACCGCCCGCTGCCGGTGTCCTCCACAATCTTGCTCAGGTTGAAGTCGGCCACCTGCGCAGTTTGAAGGCAGCAGAAGGCAGAGGGCCCGGGGAAAGATGGAGCAGAGGTCAGCGCTGGTAGAGCGGGCGAGTCGCAGCAGTGACTAGAATGCTGTGCGGAGCTACCAAGGTCCCCACCCACCTTGACCTTCCACGTGCTTTCCACCAGCAGGTTGGGCGACTTGAGGTCGCGGTGGATGATGCCGCGCTTATGCAGGTACAGCATGCCCTTGGTGGCATCCAGCGCCTGCAGGAAGCAGGCGGCCAGCCGGGCCAGGCAGCCAGCACCTCAGAACCACACCCTCTGAATGCCGCAAAACAAGCTGGCCGCACATCAGACTGCTGCTGTAACGCAGGAAGCAGGGACGCGTGGGTGGGCAGCCAGGCCAGCCCCTGCCCAGGCGCACCATGTTGAGCCGCCGCAGCCAGGTGAGCTGCGCCGCCTTCTGGGGCGACGCGTTGGCCGCCTTGAGCACGTCCGCCAGCGAGCCCTTGGCGCAGTACTCTGCAGGCGGGAGGAAAGGAGGGTCGGCCGTTGCTGTGCCAGGCAGGCGATGGTGCTGTGAGGAGGGGCGAAAGGTCTGCTCGCGTTGCTCGCCCCCCAACCTACCTGCCCCCACCCACAACACAGACAGACACACGCCCAGCCCACGCACCCGCAAACAATGCAACGTAAATAAAGCAACGCAACGCACCCGTGACCATGGAGGGGGGCAGGGCGCTGAAGCCCATGAACTGAACCACGTTAGGGTGGCGCAGCGAGGCCATCAGCGTGCACTCCTTTTGCAGGTTGAACAGGATGGGGTTGGAGAGGGTCCACACCGCGTCGGGCCCCGCCGCCTTCTGCGCCTCCTCCAGATCAAGCAGCACTTTAACGGCAACCAGCGTCTCGTGCCTGCAACGGTGGGCAAGCGGGTGGAGGCATTGGGCTGAAAACCTTCCTATTCCTACAGCCATCACCCAATCCAGCTGTAGCTGGGCTGACAGCCGGGCAAAGCCGAAAGCAAGCCAGGAGGAGAAGGTCTGAGGCTGCACAACCACAGGGGACAGCCCGAGGCTGCAACCGCAACCTGCCTCGCTCACCACTTGGCCACGTAAACCTTGCCAAAGCTGCCCTCCCCGATCGTCTTGTGCAGGGCCAGATCCTCAAACTGGATCTCCCAGGGCCTGCGCCAGGCAATGGCGGCGGTGGAACAGAAGCAGGGATCAGGTCCGTATGTCAGCGCTAGCCACGGATCAACCAGTGCCCCTCCGAACAACAAACAATGCACGCTGTGTCCACGCATGCAGAACAACAGGCACGCATGCCCCTGCCCCCGCCTGCCGGCTGCAGCCGACCCACCGACCTGATGTCGATGCTCAGGGAGAGGCTGCTGCCGCGGGAGGGCTGCGTGACGCTGCTGCCGCTGGGCCGGTCGCCCAGCCCGTCCCCAGAGATGGTGCGCTGGGAGGCCAGCTGGCCAGCGGGCATGGTGGGCGGCTGCGCGGCGGGCTGCACGCTCGCCACGGTGGCCGGTGGCGCCGCCGCCTGCTGGTTGCCGCCCTGCTGCTGCTGCTGCTGCTCTGGCTGCTGCCCCGGCACGATGGTGGCAAAAGGCGATGTGGCGGCCAGGTTGGATGGCGACCTGCTGAGGCCCGACGGCAGTTTGGTCAGCATCGCCTTTCGCACAAACTCAAGCAGGGGGTCGTTGACCAGAGAGTTGGCGCCGCTGCGGGGAGGCAGGAGGCAGGAGCAGGGCGGCACCAGGGTGGGTGTAATGGTGGCAGGGGAAAGGGGACAAGCTCAACCGCACAGACTCATGCACGGAGACATGCAAGGTTTGCCGACGGCAGGGCAGCCCAGCAATGCGGGCAGCCCTGCCCAAGAGCAGCCGCACCTGCTGCCTGCGCTGTCTGCGCTGCCCTTGCTGCCGCCCGACCCCACCCTCTCCAGCTCCTCCTCTTTGCCCAGGCTCTCTTCCGAGTCGATGCGCGGCAGGGCAGACACCTGCCTGCCCGGCAGGCCATTGGACCGTGGGGAGGAAGGCCCTGCCACTGCCACGCTGCTGCTGATGGCTCCCGCTGCCCCGCCCTCTGCGCTCGGCCTGCCCGCGGCGACTGCAGCTGCCGCGGTGCGAGGGGATGCCGGCGCCAGAGGAGACGCGCCGCTCGTGCCGCCTCTCAAGCTGCTGTGGCTGCTGCCAAGCTGCGGCTGCTGCGCCTGATCAAGCAGGTGCTGCAGCTGCGCATCCGTTTGCCCCTGCTGCTGCTGCTGCTGCGCTGTCTGCTGCTGCCAGTCTGAGCCGCCTGCCCCCAGCGTGCTGGGACCTGCAGAGGGCTGGCGAGACTGCCGCGCCTGGTACTGGTGGCTGTGGGCCGCCAGCGCCGCCCCCATGCTCCCCGTCGGGTCTGAAGACGCGCGCCGCGCCATGTCCCCTAGGGTGCGCTGGTGTGCAGGCTCCACTGCAGTCAGCTGCTTGTGGATCTCACGAAGCTTTGCCTGCTGCGCTGCTCGCTGCGCCGCCCGCTGCTGCTGCGAGGAGTGAGAGGTGCTGCTCTGCTCCGCCACTCGGCTGTCTGCTGCGCTGATGTGCTCCGGCGGCCGATCCGCCGTCATTCGGATCAAGCCTGCTGTGGCTGGGTAGCCCTCCCTCTGCGCCAGCTCAGCAGCCGTCATGCCGTTGAGCCGCAGTGTGGTGATGGCGCCGCTGCAGGGAGAGCGCAGGGGAGAGGCAGCAGCGGTGGGTCCGCTGATGCGATCCCCGCAACACGGCACACCGATGCAGCACCCAGTCAGGCATGCTGCGCGCTGGAAGCAGCAGGGCTCACTTGGCGAGCAGCAGGGTGACTGCGTTGCCGGCGCCGGCGGCCGCCGCGGCGTGCAGTGCGCTCCCCTGCTCGGGCGTCGTCTGATTGACGTTCGCTCCGCACTTGAGCAGCAGCTGCAGGCAGGCAGGCCCGGCGAAAGGTGAGCCAGGAGCCTGCTGGGGCAGAACACAGTGCAGGCAGGGCCGGCACCGCCACCCACCTTGATGCTCTCTACTTGGTCGCTGCGGGCGGCCGCGTGCAGCAGCGTCCCCCGACCCTTGGCCGTGTCTATGGCATCCACACTGCCCCCACTGTCTATCCACTGAGCCAGGGCCGCAATGGAGCCTGCACGCGACAGCAGCAGACGCAGGTGGGGGGCGGCAGCAATGGTGTCCTTGCGGGGCTGTGGCGGGGCTTTGTTGGGGTGGCCTGCCGCTGTCCCCGCGCGCCGCATGCTCCCTCCTGTGCTTCTGTAAGTGCGAGGCCTGCTGGCAACGGGCAGGCATATCCCTCCGGCTCACCCTCGCCGGCAAGCGTCCAGGGGTCCCGAGAAAACGGTTTGGACGACCCGCACCCCATGCTGCAGGGGGCGCTAAGCCCGCCCCACGGTCTCACAAGCCAACTGAGGAGAGCTGCGGAGACACGATCGCTGCACCTGGCTTGGGCCGCTGCCTGCGGTCACGGATCGGGCGGCGTGTTTGCCAGCATGCTGCAACTCAACTCTTAGCTTCCAAGCTTTCATAGTGGAAGTGTGGGTCGTGGGGCGGAGCAGGCGGAGCAGGGGCGCGAATAATTGCCTTGCAGGAGCTTTTTCGCCGTTTTGTGGCTAGATAAAATGCCTGAGAAGAGCATCACACCGATCGGCACAGCTTGGGAGGAGCAAGCCCTGACAGCGGCGGCGGTAACAACCCAGGCGGTGGGGTCTTCCGCCCGCAGCCCACCCCAAATGCAGCTCAGCCGAACTCCCTCAACTACTGCCTGAATCGGAGAGGTTCTTACAAAGAGAGAGTTGGCAGCAACTTATGGAGCGAGGAAGAAACGAGCGGCAGCGACAGACAGGAGCGGAGGGGTTGTGCAAGTGGGCCCTCACGCCAGCTGCTGCCAGAGGCGGGCGCCGATGGAGGCGCCGCCATCCAGCCATCCCCGACTGCCTCCTGCCACCGCTGCCGCTGCCTGGGCTGGTTGCTGCTGGTGCTGCTCCGCCGCCGACGCCGCATCGGTGTGAAAGCCTTGCCGCTGCTTGTGCTTGGGGTTGTCCTTGCAGATGACGTAGAGGCGGCCCCGCCGCTTCACGATGCGGCACGCTGCACGCATACACGTGCCGGGGGGTGGGGTTGGGGGTGGGGTTGGGTGTTGTTGCACACCTCTCAGGGGTCAAACACGAGCGGCACGGTGCGGCAAAATGCTACTGGTGCGCCCTCAGATGTTCGGGCCCAGCAGCAGCATGCCCTCACCTTCACACAACTTCTTTATGCTGGCCTTGACCTTCATGGCTGGCTGGTTCGCACTAGAGGACCTGCAGGGGTAGCCGGTGGTTGTGAAACCAGGTCTGTGAGGCGGCGTCCACGTTGGGTGCCACCGCGTGGGGCGGTGGCTGCACGGCTGCAGCAGCGCGGGTCTGCCGGGTGCCAGGGCGAATCCTTGCACTCCCTGCACCTGTGCCAAGCGGCCCACCTGGGTTTCAGGCGACGACGCAGATAGAGATGGCCGGGTGTGCTTGCAAGGGGGTTGAGGTCTGCAGGTTGTGCTGGTATCTGCACGCTCTTCTTAGTCTTGCGAGGAGTTACTGAAGCGGGGCTGGTTTATTTTAGCCCTGCATGGGCCAGGCTGGCGATGGGTGGCAAGGAGAAGTGCTTCTCATCGCCGCCAAGCATCTGGCGTTCACTTCCTACACGATCAGCTCATGTTCCGTTGCTAGGTGGCCATCTTCGCTCAGGTGGGCAGCGTGTCGTGTGCGCCGGCAAGAGCAGCATTGAGACCCTCAAATCACCGCCACACGATCATTTATTATGCATGCATATCGATGCCTGCCACGCCGACAATCACCCACAGACTCTGCTGCCACCGTCTGCCGCCGCCACCGCCTGCGCAGGTGCTGGTGATGCAGCTAGTTTGACTTGCAAAGGATCCGCCGATGCGCTTTGTGGTGGTGGGCGGCGGCGTGGCGGGCGTGTGCTGCGCGGAGGAGCTGTGCCGGGTGCGCCCGCAAGACAGCGTGACGCTAGTGGCCGCCGATCGCGTGCTCAAGGTGAGGTTGTGGCTGCTTTGCGGATTGCCACCTGCCAGTATAAGCTGCTCCTGCCTCCTGGCTGCCTGTTCCTCCTTGTGCTGCCTGGTTCCTGCCTCATCCGCGACCAGCCTGGGCCAATGCCCTGTGCCCTGTGCCGCCCGCCTGCAGGGCGTGAGCGTGGTGGTGCGCCTGTCGCGGACCTTAGAGGAGCTGGCTTTGGTTGAGCGGCGACTGGATGAGCTGCCCTGGCCCAACCTGCAGATGGTGCAGGGCGTGGCGGCGGGAATAGATGCAGAGGGCAAGGTGCGCCATGAGAGGGCGGGGCAGACATGGTGTGTACGGGCATTTGGGCTACAGGCTGCCGCCGTGCCTCGCTGTGGAGCCTACAGCTCCACAGAAGCGGCGGGGCCTGGCCTGCTGCCAGCTGGCAGACCTGCCAAGACCAGCACCACGCCCCCTACCTGCCTGCTTGCCTGCAGGAGCTGCTGCTCGGTGACGGCCGCCGCTTGCCTTATGACAAGCTCTGTATCTGCGCTGGGGCGCGGCCCAAGCAGCTGCCGCCCACAGCCTTCCACGCCCGCCCGGCGCCCGGGCTGAGCGAGGCCGAGGCGGAAGCCGAGCGGCAGCGGCAAGAGGCCGAGCTGAGGCGGCGCGTGCTGACCATCCGAGATACCGACAGCGTGCAGCGGCTGGCGGCGCGGCTGCGCGGCGCGCGGCGCGTCGCTGTGGTTGGCAACGGCGGCATCGCCCTGGAGCTCATGTGAGCCCTGCCTGCCTGCCTGCCTGCCTGCCTGCCACACTACCGCCCCGAAGGCTGCTTGGCGGCCAGCCAGCCAGTCGGCCAGCCGGCCAGCTGGCCAGCCTGTTTTTCCAACTTCTCTGCCTACCGGCCCTGGCCCTGTCTGGCTGGCCCGGCCGCCTGCCTGCAGCTCAGGGCTACAGGGCAAGGATGTCACGTGGATCATGCGCCATGCCCACATCGGTGAGACTGGGCTGCCGCAGGCTGCTGCCTCCTGGATGCTGGCGCCCTGCCTGCGCCTCTCTCGCCAGGAGCGCCTGGCAGGAGGATCCCCGGCCCAACGCCTGCCAACTCCCCCGCCGACCCATCGTCGTGACTTGAGTGTGCTGCGAGCCATGGTGTGTAGGTGATGCTTACTTCGACCTGGATGCCGCCCAGTTCCTGCTGGAGGAGCTACAGCAGCAGCGGGAGCAGCAGGCGCAGCAGGTGGCAGGGGCGCAGCAGCAGCAGCAGCAGGAGCAGAAGCAGGAGCAGCTGCCGCCGTCGCCGCAGGAGCAGCAGCAAGAGCAGGGGCGGCGGCAGCCCTCTGATGCCAGCCTAGCCAACGGTGCTGGCTCGGAGGACAATTGCGGCAGCGGCAAGGTGCTGGGCCATGCGGTGGGGCCCCGATGGGTGCAGCAGCTGCTTCCGGCTGCTGTAGCGGCCGAGGGAGGCACCGCAGAGGAGGACAGCAGCGCAGTCGGCCGTGTGGATTTAGAGTATGGCTGCGAGGTGGCCTGCATAGAGCTCATCCAAGAGGGAGGGCAGCCGCAGCAGCAGCCGCGGCAGCCGCCCGGAGACGGAGACAGCCCCAGCCAGCGTGGCGGCCAGCCCCCGCTGCTGCTCACGCTCACCAGCGGCAAGAAGGTGGAGGCAGACCTGGTGCTGCTGGCCATCGGGGTGACGCCCGCTCTGGACTGGGTTCCTCCCTGCGTCGAGCGGGCGCCCGATGGCGGCTTGAAGCTCAACAGGTAGCGCCTCGCCCCGCGCAGTTTGTGCTTGGCGGCTGCAGCAGCGGCACCCCTTCCGGTGCCGCCTGTGCGCCTGCCTCGCCGGCCGGCTGCGCCTGCCATGCTGCTGTACCGCCCATGTGCTGCACATGTACCGCATCTGTACCGCCGCAGGCACATGCAGAGCAGCGACCCCGCCATCTACGCCGCCGGCGACAGCGCCAGCTGCAGCTGGGCAGCCGGAGAGTCCTCCCACTGGTTCCAGATGCGGCTGTGGTCGCAGGTGAGCGCGGCGGCCGGGAGAGCAAGCTGCTATATGGCAGCAGAGGTGGTGGTGCCGCTGCTGGTGTGTCTGTGGGTCTCTGCTCTCGACTCTGCTGGATGCCCCACCCTGCTGCCGGCGCCCCCTCCTTGCCCGCAGGCTCGCAGCATGGGCATATATGCCGCACACTGCATGGCGGGGGTGCAGGAGCAGGCGAGCTCCAGCGCGCCTCCCCACATGCATGTTCCTGCCACCCAGCCTGCCTGGTAGCCACTTGCCGCCGGCCGCTGCTGCCATCTTCTCTCCTTGGTGCCAAATAGCCTGCTACTGCTGAAACCCGTTGCCAAACTCACTCTTGCCCCTGCCCCTGCGCCCTGCAGATGGGGGCCGACATGGCATTCGAGCTGTTCACCCACGTCACACGCTTCCTGGGGCGCAAGGTGCCACTGCTGGCGCCGCCGCCGCTGCCGCCACTGCTGCAGCTGCCGGTGTCGCGAGCGCTCCGCAGCCCTGGCTGCTGTCAACCCGGTGCCATGCAGCTGTGCTGCAGAGCGGCTGACTGCCTTTTTTTCCGTTCCTCCTTCGTTTTCCTCCTATGCCAGGTGGTGCTGCTGGGGCTGTACAACGGGCAGCGGCTGCAGCATGAGCCTGCGTCCGACATGGCAACCTACAGCCGCGTCACAGAGGTCGGCGGGGAGAAAGGGAGGCCAGAATGCTGTGGTGGGGGCATGTGGGCGTTGCTGCTGGCGAGGCAGTGTGGCTGGCTGGAGGGATGGTTGGCGCTGTGCAGGCCTGGCGGAAGTGTGCCTGCTGCTCTTCGAAGAGGCAGCAGGTGCACATGCGTCCCCCTGAGCTGCCTTCGCTGTGCTCAACCACCCCATGCACTCACACATACGCAAACCCTGGTGCTCGCAGGGCCCCGAGCGCACGTTTGTGCGTGTGCTGTTGCTGCGGGGGCGGGTCCAGGGCGTGGTGCTGATCGGCGACACAGGTGCGGCGAGGTAGGGGTGGCCCCAGGGCACAAAATTCACTCAGGCGGCTGGGTGTTTGTCGCTGCCCCCATGTCCTGCGCGCATGCTGCAGCGACACAGTTGCCCGCTGTTCGCTGCACGTTGCACCTCCCCGGGCCGCCTCGCTGTGCCTGCCCACCTCCCCTGCTGGCCTGCACCGCTGCAGAACTGGAAGAAACTTTTGAGAACCTGATCCTGGACCAGCTGGATGTGAGCCAGTACGGCCCCGCCCTGCTGGACCCCGACTTTGAGGTGGGCTCGAGGCTGCGATTGGCGACGAGCATGGGTGGTGCCCGCCACCGCCGCCCGAGTGCATGGAATGACTGTCGCCGATCCGCGTGTTGACGTCTGCATGCGTCGAGCCCTACCGTTTGCATTGAGATCCACTTGCTTGCTCGACTGCAGCTAGACCACGTGTTCGACTGATTCAATCGAGCGGTGCGGTGTTATGGGGAGCCCACTGCGACAGCAGCCTGCCTCCTTAATGGTGTAACAGGCAGACCAACAGACGGCAGCTGAGGCGTTGCGAGATGAGATGCTGGCAACCGATGCACTGGCCAGTGCTCCCCATGGGGAGGTGGGATCTGGCAGCGGCCACTGGCAGCAGCAGCCTGGCATCAGCGGCATCACAAGTCAACAACATCCATTGAGGCTGCAGTCACATGCCTTGGCTGGCTGGTGTGTTTTACATCCATGGTTCTTGTGCTGATGTACACGCAGCAGGTGCAATGTGCTGCGCAAAGATTTCATAGCTAGCTGCAGCAATAGATGTGCACTGCCTTATAGGTGGCAGAGGTGTCATTGCTGCTGCATTCACGGGGTGTCAACGGTGCGCGATATCTCTTGAAGCATCTTGTTCAGGCGTGGCTGACGCAGCACAATACCGCCGCCACCGCGCTTCTTTTGGGTAAGAGTGTTGTTGAGGTCGCCCACCATCACCAGCTTGTCTACAGCAAAGGATTGCACTTCGGCGAATCAGCTTTCAATCATGGTAGCAGCTGATGAGGCACAGATCTGTCCTGTAGACTGCAGTTTGCTCCCAACGTATACCGCTGTTGCATCCTGAAGGCGGGTTGGACCACCCTTTGCTGCACACAACACACCAGAGCGGTCGATGCACACGGCCATCTTAGCATGCTCAGAACCTTGAAGAGTCCATGGATAAACATCTCCATCCTCTTCAACACCAACGGCGCTGATATTATTCACCCTGCCATCAGACGGGATTATATCCTGCATGCAAAATGTACTTGAGCATACCTCGGAAACGTTTTTGATTGGAAAGCAGGGTCAGGGAAGGCCGGCCTGGGCAAGCAGCAGGCAGAGCACAACACTGTGCTGCACAGCACAGCCTGCTGCATTCTGGCTTACTGTTTTCTTTTTCAGATGTGTCCGCACATTCCATACGCCCTTAAACAAGTCATGCATGGCCAGCTCTTCGTAGAAGCTAGCCTCTGGCTCGTTTGCCTTTGCCAAGTGCCAGATTCCAGCACTGCAACAGGGCACTGGAGCAGCAGGTCAGCCGCATCTGCAGAGGTTTTAGGGGGAGTGCCCAATTAGTTAGGAAGACTGCTACCTGAGTTCTACAGGGCGGAATCCGGACTCCTTGTAATTTCTGTAGTCTTTGAGTGCAAAATCCATTACCTCGAGCTCAGTATCTGAGTTGTAGTAAAAGGTAAAGGTAAAGGTGGGGAAGAGCCTCCACAGGCTTAACTTCCCGGTTTTAACGTCTAGCTTTAGACCATTATTTGATCTGCCCGACGCGCCAAGTGCAGTACCCCCCACTAGTAGTGAATGGGTCCCGGGGAGGCCTGTGCCGAAGCCTTGGCGATTCTAATAGGCGTTCCCGAAGGAATTGGCTTGGATTGGCGCTGAGCCGGTCAGCTATGCCGCGTTTGTCCTCACAAAGTTTCGACATGGGATCCCGCCGGGCGGAGGGTTCATTCATTCATTCAGCACACAGACCGGCCGCCTCTTGCTCGAGGGCGGCCCACTTTGGCCTGGGCAGCCCGGGCCGCCCTCCCCCCCGGGCGCATGTTCGGTGTTGGAGGGGTGCGCCCAGCGATAGGGGGCCCCTGAAGGCATGCGCCGAGGCCGGGAAGCGTGGTTCGGCGCTGCTGCACGCTTGGCGACTTGAACAGAACCGCGTGCCGCCGAGCTGCGGCCGCAGTTTCCGGCCCACAGTCTACGGCCGCAGCCACGGGACTCGGCGGCACGGCGTTTGGGCCCAAGCTTGCTGCCGCCGCCGCCGTGCCCGGGGGGCAGCGCGGCGGCGGCGGCGGCACGCTGCGACGCCCCCGAGCCACCGAGCTGCGGCCGTAGCTTCCTGCCAGAAGCCCACGGCCACAGCCACGGGACTCGGCGGCACGGCGTTTCGGTCCACGGCTTGCTGCCGCCGCCGCCGCA